TTTCAGAATATTTGCCTTGTATCAGGTGAGCATCCCAAATATGAACATTTGAAATAGTCCAATGAATATTTCCTTTGAGCATCTTGTTGGCACTCCAAAAGTCAGATTTTGGAGCATTTTGGATTTCATATTTTCAGATTATGGATACTTAACCTGTATTTATCTCTCTCCCTGCGACGCCAGGATGTAAACTCCACAAGGGCAGAGAATGTATTTAATTCATTGGCAGTCCCCTTATAACTAGCATGTATCTGTCCATTTGTATACATTTAGCAAATATTTAATGACTAACAGCTCAGTAGATTAAAAAAATGATTGGCTGGACACATGGCATGTCTTGTATAGTAGCAAGAGGAGAGGTGGGCAAGTAAGGAACTGGCACCAGGCCTCGATTGCCATACTCCATGGTGGGAGGTGAGGCAGAGCCGGCCCGCCCCTTTTCCTTTCCAGGACTCAGCCTCAGCATTGAGGGGGAGAAGCCAGAGGAGAAGCCTGCCCCTCCAGGGGCCATTCGCCTCCAGCACTGTGGCCTAGAGTGCATCCTCTCCAGCTGAGCAAGTGTTCTCCCTATTCCACCAGACTCATGCTCCCTGAAATACAACTCCGTTTCTTGCACTTTTGCCTTGGATTTAGACGTGCAAAATATGTGAACCTTCCTATGCAAATTAAGATTTGAATGTCATCTGCTTCACAGTTCTAGCCATCAGTTCTAAAAATAGTCATTTTATGGGATTTGAGAAAGAGATTAAGACCACAAACTTACAACTGAGTTTTTCCCTAGCAGACAGCAGCTGTTCAAACAAAACATAAATCTGGGAGTTTTGAAGAGCTATGCTGTTGTGCTGCAGCTCAGCCCAGTAGGTGGAGGTTCCTAGGGAGGAGATATACTCAGCATGGGTGAGATCTGTGGGCCTGCAGACAGTGTGTTCATGTTCTGCCATCACCCGTGAACCTAGAGGACAGAGTGATGGAAATCGATGATTGTGAGGCAGCAAAATCAGGACTAGCATTAGTGAACGCCTCGCCCTGTGTCTGTGGCCATGTGCAGTTAGCGCCATTTGACTCTTGTTCTTGTGAAAACTACAGAACATTTGTAGCAAGGGCTTTATAGGCTGAAATACCAGTAAACAGCCAGAGAAAAATTAACACCAGCAGAAATGTGACTTTTAAAAAGTAAGATGACCTGTTAGGGACTTTCTGTGAACTTACAGGGGTCCTGAGAAGTCATACCCTGCTGCCTGACCTCTGACCAAACAGTAATCACAGGCATTCATTTCCCCAGGTCAGTGAGGACTCAGAGTCTTCAGACAAGAGGGGCAGTTCGCGTTATCTGTCACTCCTTCCCCATTTTTCTAGCACAGCTTTAAAAATTATTATGGCAAAGATACCAGCATCTTTGCCATTTTGCTGCTTTATCATCTTACATGGACTGTATGCTACACAAACTAAATTAAATTAAATCAATGCATCTCCGCCCTGCCCTCCTCCAGAGTAAGTTTTCACTGACTTGGGCAAGTAAATGAGTGCTGCACCCTAATTAATGTAATAGAAATTCCTGTGCTGGTATTCTTGTCCCATTCTTAGAAGAGGGAATTTCCTGGTAACATTGCCCCAGATAATAATTATTCCTTTGAGACGCTGCAGGCATCACTTCTCCAGGCTAAATAATTTCAGTCCTTTTTCTCCCAGATTCTAGCGTTCCATCCTTTAATCTTGCGAGTCTTCTCACTCCTACTTGGCTGAGAATTCTAAGTCATCCGAGCTAATGTGCTACCTGGTTTGGAGTCACTCTGTCCTCCCTCACCTTCCAGATGTGCCAGCGACTGTGGTCCCTGTTATCTAACAATGCTACCTGGCTAATTACCTGTGGGCTCTTTTCTGCTGTGATGAACCCAGCAGATCATTTATTTGCTATGTAAACAGCCTGTTTCTCTTCTTGTCTATTTGCCTTTTCTATAGACAATGTTTGGTTTGTTTCTGAGTAAAGTAACCTTGACCAAATGGACTAAGGGGCCATTTGGGGCTCATTATTTTGTATGTGATTGACAGATAGTTAAATTTTTCAGTGGGGTATTACACATTCTTTAGGCTGTGGTATCAATATGCTGGCACTTCAGAGAGCCAGCACCATGTAGTAAGATAAGGACCAGCGGTGGAGTTGGGGAGGGATGAGAATCACAGCTCTTCCATCATTTATTGCTGTAATGTACCTAGCCTCCCTTAGCCTCTCTTACCTCATATGTTAGATGAGAATAATGTTATCCGTGTGGGAGAGTAGAGCGGATGCAGTGAATTCAGGTTTGTAAACATTTGATGTGCTTACTGTTGGAATGTAGTTTTACAGACAAGGTTGTTTTTGTCATGATGGGTGGTAATTATATATATAAAGGTAACAGAGCTGATTTTCATCTAGTTGAAGGTCTGTGTGAGTGGTTTAAGTTCTTGGTACAAAGATATAAGAGACACATACATATGATAATTTTATATAAAATATGTCATGAGCTGTTATACAGAGATAGTTACTATGAAAAGCAGAACTAGGAGGGAGGGGGGCAGAGGATAAATCCAGAGTGTCTGCCTTTCAGATAGCTGGACTCAAGAGGAATGGGAAATTAGAGGGAAGAAGTGTCTGATGTTTCTGCAGCCAGTCAGGTTATGCTCATTGAAAACTGTTTTTCCAAACAACCTCATTAAAAAGTGGGCAGAGGACATGAACAAATCATTTTCAAAAGAAGACATACATGCAGCCAACAAGCATATGAAAAATGCTCAACATCACAAACCATTAGAGAAATGCAAATCAAAACCGCAATGAGATACTATCTCACACTAGTCAGAATGGCCATTATTGAAAAATCAAAGAATAATAGATGTTGGCACAGTTGCAGAGAAAAGGAAACACTTCTACACTGCTAGTGGGAGTGTAAATTAGTTCGGCCATTGTAGAAAACAGTGTGGCAGTTCCTCAAAGAATTGAGAACTACCATTCGACCCAGCAATCCCATTACTGGGTATATACCCAAAGGAATATTTGTTCTGTCATAAAGACCCACACATGCATATGTTCATTGCAGCACTATTCACAATAGCAAAGACATGGAATCAACCTAAATGCCCATCAGCAGTAGACTGGATAAAGAAAATGTGATACATAAACACCATGGAATACTATGCAGCCATAAAAAAGAACAAGATCATGTCCTTTACAGGAACATGGATAGAGCTGGAAGCCACTATCCTTAGCAAACTAACACAGGAACAAAAAAACCAAATACCATATATTCTCACTTCTGAGTGGGAGCTAAATAACAAGAACACATGGATACTGGAAGGGGAACAACTTGAGGGTGGAGAGCAGGAGGAGGGAGAAGATCAGAAAAAATACCTATCAGGTACTATCCTTATTATCCAGGTGACGAAATTACCTGTACACCAGATCCCTGTGATACACAGTTTACCTACATAACCTGCTTGTGTACCCCAGAACCTAAAAGTTAAAAACAAAAATAAAACCTTTTTTTTGTGACTTGAGCTCTAAGTTATGAATATTGTCTTAGGGGGCTCAAGGGTAAAGGGACAGCAGCGTATCTTTAAGATTAAGCATGATTTTGGTACTAATAGAGCCTCTGTCCTAACCTGTACTTTTGGGGGTTGATGATACCAGAGAAACTTTTCTGTACATTTTTTGTGTGTTGGTTTGCCCTGTCTTCAGCAGTGATTATGTATTTCTGTGAAGTTAATAGGCCCCTTGTGTGGAGCCTACCCCCCGTGTGGAATCATCTCATAAGGAGACACATCCTGGAAGTGTCCCGGAAGCCCCTAGACTTGAGTTTTCCAGACTCCTTGGCCAACAAACACGGCCCTCCCCTGGGGGCTGTGGCCATCACCCCACCCTGCGGCTGCTTGGCCTCCTATGGTAGAAAGGGAAGATGAATGATCATCAGTGCTCCATCTGTCTGGATCGGAATGCACAAATCTCTTGCTGCTTCTCCGTCACAACCCTTCACCTTTCTTTTTCCCTTGGCTAGGTGGCACCCTGAGCTTTGGATTTTTTTTTTTTTTATTATTATAAGAATTTTCTAACTTGCATATTTGCATTTTGGCCTAAGATAATGATGGCCATGACCCTAGCAAGGCTACCGCAGGAACCGTGTTCTCCTCAATCACCTTTCCAGAGAGCTTTCTTTCCCTACACTGTCAGTGCCAAGGAAGGCTGAAAATGCAGTGACTGTGGGTTATAACCTGTGATGGCCCCAGAAGGGCTGTGACTTCATCACCTCCTGTAATCCTCACAGGGTCCCCACTGGACTCATGAGAAAAGGGGGAGGCTTCTAGGGGTTATGGAGTAGCCCCCAGGTACACAGCTGGTAAGCCCAAGTCCATTGTTGATTTGACTCTGGACAGAAGGGAAGGGCCTTCTGGTCTACCTCATCACCACCTCCCCAAGCCATGGGACCCACCCCTGGGTAATTTGGGAATCCAGATAACCAGCCCTTCAGTAAGGAATATGAGTTACTGCCCCACAAGGTGATTGCCCTACTAGTAGAAACCTTACTACCCAGAGCTCAGTTGGGTTTCGTGACCCCAAATTAAATGAAATATAATAAAGGTAAATGAACTTTATAAAATTATTACAGTGCTTTAATGCTCTGGCCTGGGGACCTAATTGCTTTTATTTTATTTTTTTTTATTTTTGAGATGAGAATCTCGCTATATTGCTCAGGCTGGTCTTTCAGCCTGGCCTCATGTGATCTTCCCACCTGGACCTTCTAAAATGCTGAGATGACAGCCTCATGCCACCACACCCAGCCCTCTAGCCAATTTTCAATAAATATACTGAATTTTCATAATATAGTGTCTAACATTCTCTACTGTGCTTTTAGAACCAGTATTCTCAAAACAGCTTATTTTATTTTGCTCGAGACAAGTATGCATTATCCCTTTTTGCTTCCCACAAGAGCAAAAGCTTAAGCATTTGTCTTCCCTTCACTTCCTGCCAGCGCCCCATCATCTCTATCTGCTGGGGTCACCGGGACTCGAGGCTGTTGATGGCATCAGGACCAGCCCTGTATGTGGTGCGTGTGGAGCACCGGGTGTCCAGCCTGCAGCTGCTGTGCCAGCAGGCCATCGCCAGCACCTTGCGTGAGGACAAGGACGTCAGCAAGCTGACCCTGCCCCCCCGCCTCTGCTCCTACCTCTCCACTGCCTTCATCCCCACCATCAAGGTAAAGCCCTCTACCCCTCCCTCTTCCTCCTCCCTCACCTGTGCTGGCTCCCCACAGAGCCAGGGCAGAGACAGGTGAGGGTACCAGAGTGAGCACATGGGGCCATGTGCAGCTGTGCAGGATCCTGTCATGTGCTGCCAGGTCCGCAGTCTGTCCAAGCATCATGGTCCATGTCCATGAGAGATTTGCGCTGTGTGGTGGCTATTATCTTTCTCATAGCAAAGCTGGTATTCCTAGCTTGACTTCTGTGTCCCTCTGATGATCAAAGGAGTGACCATTATTCAGCATTTCCTATATACTAAGCATTATACTAGTTAATTTTTAGAAATCTGTCTTGTTCAGTCCTGACTTCCTGACAGATGCTGCCATTATTCCCATTTAAGGAAGCAGGAAACAAGTTAGGAGAAGTTAAGTAACTTGCTCCCTAGCTAGTTAGGGGAACAGTCAGGATCAGACCCACCCCGGTTCTAGGGCCAGCTCTTGGCACTGTGCTGAGGAGAGCCACGCCAGCCAGCACTCAGCGTCAGCCACCTTTCAAACCAGTGGGAACTCTAGAAGGTAGCATGTAGAATGCATCTGCCAGTTACTGTTTAAGTGTGGGTCCCCCTAACCTTGGGTTTTCCCAAGTGGTTCTCTTTTGTATTGTCTCTTCTTCTAAGTAGCAGACCCATTTGTTGGTTACTTTTTTCCTGAAACATCAAAGTTTTAGAATCTATTGGTTTTTGTTTTTGTTTTTGTTTTTCCAAGTTGCCTTACACTATTGATTCTACACGAGCAGATCTCAACGCTGGTGTATTATATAGCATTGGAAAATACAGGTGCCCAAGCCTGCCCCTATGGATCCTGATTTCATTGTCTGATATGGGATCCCGGTTTAGATGTGTTTTGAAAGCTCCCAGGAGATTCTCACATGCTCCTACCATTGCAAATCACTGTTCTACACCACATAGTTAGCCTCTCCCCAGGCTCCCAGCCTGTGCTCTTTCTGAAACAGTGGTGTTTTTAGTTGACCTGCCCCTGTGCTCACTCTCTTTCCCTCTCTCTCTGCCTCTCTGGAGTCCCAGCTCTTCCTTTTCTTCCTGTGTCCTGCAGCCCCCAATTCCAGATCCGAACAACATGAGAGACTTTGTCAGCTACCCATCAGCCGGCAATGAGCGGCTACACTGCACCATGAAGCGCACAGAGGACGACCCAGAGGTGGGCGGCCCGTGCTACACGCTCTACCTGGAGTACCTGGGCGGGCTTGTGCCCATCCTCAAAGGGCGGCGCGTCAGCAAGCTGCGGCCGGAGTTTGTCATCATGGACCCACGGACGGATAGCAAACCAGGTGGGTCCCTTGCCCGAGGGACTGGGACCTTGTTCTGCTGTGGTCATGGGCTGTTACGCCTTACACCCCATACAAAGAGAATGTGTGCTAATGAAACGTGAGCCTGTGGTGGCTGGTGTGGAACTTCGTTGAAGAATCCCACTGAAATGAACTGTTCTCTAAATGTACTTTTTGACAGGTTTTAAATCATATTTCGTAGGCAGTGGATAGCTGGGCTGTGAATAGAGGAACCATTGGCTGTCAGGCAAGGGGAAGCTAGTGCAGGCCTCCCGGGAGCGAGGGTTTCCTCCTCACAGTTACGGAGTGTTCATCCAGTGTCTTCATGTAATATTCAGACAACTTGAAAATAATAACAAGATACAGTCCCTGCCCTCCCAGAGTGGATGGTAAAGTTAAAATCAAACCTTCAGCCTCCTGCCCCTCCCTAGTCTACTGTTAACTGCTTTGTACCTGATTACTAATGACAATTTTTTGCTCATCCATAAAGATGTTGGTATGAAACACCCTTTTCTTCTAAAAACCTTTCCCTGTGGTGATTTTCTTTGCTCAGTTAATGTATTCAACATGCTCCCTGCACACCTCTCTGGGATCCTAGATTGTAAGCTTCAGAGGGAAGGGACTGCGTTCTTTTTTTGTGCCACTTGGTGCTAGGCTAGTGTCCGTGCACCCGTCAGTCACGGCCGGCTCAGTCTGCCACCTCCTGTGAAACTTTGCCCATCACCTATGGCAGAATGAGCAACACACTTAGTCATTGTGCTCCAGACTCTGCCCTGCTGAATCCTGTGGGCCCTGGGGGGAGAGAACTGAGTCGTCTTTGTGCCCCCAGTAGATTTGGATTTGTTTTCATTAGTTCATGCTTCCTCTCGCCACTTCCTCGCTCCAGTTTACTCTCCTGCCAGTTAGTCTGGTCCCTGCCTCTCATTACGGCCTGGAGCTAGCATGACATGTGGCCTGACCAGTCACCCCAAGTCACAGTGTGGTGGGCTTGTTCACTCTCAGCCTGTACTCAGCGCTGTACAGTTGCCCCACCTCTGCCTGCCAGCCTTCATTTGTTCAGCATCAGCAGTGCCACTCTACTACCCCTGCAAAACAGCAATACTGCTTGTCAATATTAGATATGAGTCCGTTTTTTCTGTCTTTTGACTCATGTGACAAGCTAGTACCAGGAACAAAGAAAGCGACCAGCAGAATTGGGGCTGGTAGGGAAGCAGACTGAAAGGAAGGAGAGGACAGATTCAGGAGGAAGGCAGGCACAGTGGGAAAAACAGGAGAGAGAGAAGCGCATATTTATGTGGGATGGAAACATGGTTTCAGGGAAAAGGAGAAGGGCCACCAATGGTTAGAGATGACTGGGGTGGGGGCCGTGGGACAGGCCCTGAGCCCAGGTTTGCAGCAGGTGTTCTCGCTGATGTCAGCACCTCTGAGGTTACTCCCCTGGGTGCAATTTTATAAAATCTGTATTGAGATTAAATGTTGACAGTAACTTAGGTGAAGAGCTTATTTCCTCATGTGTGCATAAATTCCTCCCTGAAGAAGAGGACAGGAGGCTGTGCTGTGGAGTACCCAAGGACTAGGCTTGCTTGAACCTGGCCCGACTACCCCAAATGCCTGCTCTTCCTTCCTGTTCATGTTTATCAGCTTGTATCAAACACAGACCCACTCGTTTGCGCACAATCCTTTGAGGGAATAAGATGTTGTATTTTTATAATTAAAAGAGTTAAAAGCTATAAAACAAAGCACATTGACAGATATGTAGTCAGTGCCTACCTTGTGTGGGATACTTGAGTCTCCTGCTATTATTAAGTAATACCAGGTCATCTCTGCTTTTAAGGAGTTTCTAAACCCTTTTAGGTGATAAGACAATGTAAGCACTTGAAAAGTTTAAAAAGTCAAGATTTAAATACCTGATGACAAAAATAGAGGATATGTCACAAGGCACAATATGACTAATTGCCACCTGAATGGCATATACAAACTATTTCAGAGGAGGAAAAGAATCCCTGACATTGAGAAAACAGGAATTTCTTTTTTCTTTTTATTGGGGGATGGAGGGACAGGGTCTTGCTCTGATGCCCAGGCTGCAGTGCAGTAGTGCCATCACAGCTCGCTGCAGCCTTGACCCTCCCAGGTTCAAGCAATCCTCCCACCTCAGCCTCCTGGGCAGCTGGGGCTACAGGTGTGCACTACACTTGCTAATTTTTGTATTTTTTTGTAGAGACAGGGTTTTACCATGTTGCCCAGGCCGATAAACTCCTGGGTTCGAGCAGTCCTCCGCCTTGGCTTCCCAAAGTGCTAGGATCTATTACAGGCATGAACCACCGTGCCTGTCCAGGAATTTCTTATCGTTAAAAGCTGATTAACTCATTGAGGCCGCCATGTCATCGTTTCTCATAATGTGTTCCATGCACCACCACCTCCATGCAAATCACCTGGGATACTTATTTAAATACACGTTCCTAGGCTTACCCTTAGATTATGATTCATTAGGGCTGTGGTGGGGCCTACATACAAACATGCGACTTAATGGGTTTCCCAGGTGATTTTTATGCACTAAAGTTTGTGATCCACTGTCAGGTGACTTGGCAGATATGTCCCTCAACATTACCAGTGTGTATTTTTATACCAGATACCATGAGTCCCAGTATTTTTTTTTTTTTCCAAGCAAGGTCTCACAGTGTCTCCCAGGCTGGAGTGCAGTGGTACAATCATGGCTCATTGCAGCCTTGAACTCCTAGGCTCAAGCAGCCCTCCCACTTCAGCCTCCAGGTAGCTAGGATTGCAGGTGTGCACCACCACACCTGGCTAATTTTTTTATTTTTGTAGAGATGGGGGCTCCATGTGTTGCCCAGGCTGGTCTCAGCCTCCTGGATTCAAGATCCTCCAACGCTCGCCTCCCGTAGTGCTGGGATCATAGGTGTGAGCCACCATGCCCGGCTGCTTCCCTCCACCACCCCCACCAGTTTTCTTTAAAAAGAGATGGGGTCTTACTCTGTCACCCAGACTGGAGTGCAGTGGTATGATCGTAGTGCACTGTAAACTTCTGGATTCAAGTGATCCTCCCACCTCAACCTCCCGAGACTATAATAGGCACACACCATCACACTTGTCTAATTCTGTTTTTTGTAGAGATAAGGTCTCACTGTGTTTCCCAGGCTGGTCTCAAACTTCTGATCTCAAGACGTGAAGTCGTCCTGCCTTGGCTCACCACAGTGCTGAGATTTACAGACATGCTATTGCACCTGGCACACATTTTCTAAAGGAATCTTTAGCCATAGCTTGCTATGGACTGACTTGTGTTCCCCTAAAATTCATATATTGAAGTCCAGACCCCCAATGTGAGGGTAGGATGACATTTAGGGGAGATTAAGATTAAAGGAATTCATATGCGTGGGTCCTGATCTGATTTAGTTACTGGCCTTAAAGAAGAGAAGGAGAAAGAGACCTCTCACCACGCACATGCACCAAGGAGAGGACATAGGACACAGTGAGAAGGCGGCTGTCTGCAGGCCGGGGCAAAGCCTTCACCAGGAAACAGGCGTTGTCACCCTAACCTTGGGGCTGCTCAGCCTCCATAATTGACTGGACCCGTTATTTAGTGTGTGTGCATGCGTGCTCGTGTGTACACACACGCATAATACTGGTTTTGTTTTTCTGGAGAACCCCGACTAATACAGATTTTGGTTCTAAGAAATGGGTATTGCTGTAACAAATCTCTAAACATGTAGAAGAAGCTTTGGAACTGGGTAATGGATAGAGGCTGGAAGAGTGTTGAGGTGGATGCTAGAAATATGGAAGTTAAGAGCAATTCCGGTGAAGTCTCAGTTGGAAATGAGGAACATACTGAAAACTGGAGGAAAGGTGATCCTTGTTATAAAGCAGCAAAGGATTTGAGTAAACTGTTCCAGTGTTTCCGTGGAAGGTAGAACTTGCAAGTGATTAAATTGGATATGTAACTGAAGAGATTTCTAAGCAAAGTGTTGAAGGAGCAGTTTGGTTCCTCCTGATGGCTTACAGTAAAATGCAAAAGGAGAGAGATGAATGGAAGAAGGAATTGTTAAGATAAAAGATGAAGATTTAGATTTAGAAAATATTTAGGCTATTCATATTGCAAAAAAAAAAATGTATTAAATACATTTTGAAGAAAATACCAAAGTTATGGCTGGACTGTCATTTAATAAAGCGCTTACGAAATTATATGAGCAGAGACACTGCCAGTTTGAACTGTAGTGGATGGAAACAGGATGAAACGAAGGAGGAAGGCTGTTGGACTTCTTAGCTTTGACCAGCTGGAATGATGGAGGTGTTTGGCCACTAACATGCATTATTCTTCAAGAAGAGGGAAAAATAACTCTGAAAGTGATTCAGAGATCATTAGGTCCACCTCTTCGGTTTCAGCAGGCCAGATGGCCTTTGCACAGAGCCTTGCGGGCAGAGCCATGGGGGCAGGATCCCTACCAGAGCTATGAGGGTGATGCTGACACCCCAGTAGACCTGGAGGACAGGATATCAAACCAAAGAGGACTCCACTCAAGCCTCAAAATTCAATGGAATTTTCTTTGCGAGATTTTGGATTTGCTTGGAACCTGTCACCACTTTTGTACTTCCAGTGTCTCCTTTTTGGAATGGGAATGTCTATCCTATGCCTGTCCCACCATTGTATTTTGGAAGCACATAACTTCTGTGGTTTCACAGGTTCACAGCTGGAGAGCAGGTTTGCTTCAGGATGAATTGTACCTCAGGTCTCACCCATACTGGATTTAGGTGACAATTTAAATTAGACTCTGGACTTTTAGAGTTGATACTGAAATAAGTTAAGACTTTGGGGGCTTTGGGAATAGAATGAATATATTTTGCATGGGAGAAGAACATGAATCTGAGAATGGCCAGGAGTAGAATCCCGTGGACTGAATTGTGCCCCCACGTCACCCCCAAAATTCTTATTGGGAAGTCCTAACTCCCAATGTGACTGTATTTGGAGATAGGACTTACAGGGGGGAGATGAAATTAAATGAGATCTTAAGGGTGAGGTCCTAATTTGATAGGGCGATTGGCCTTATAAGAAGACAAGATTAATGCCTGTGATCCAGCGCTTTGGGAGGCCAAATCGCAAGGTCAGGAGATGGAGACCATCCTGGCTAACACGGTGAAACACCGTCTCTACTAAAAATACAAAAGATTAGCCGGATGTGGTGGCGGGTGCCTGTAGTCCCAGCTACTTGGGAGGCAGAGACAGGAGAATGGCGTAAACCTGGAAGGTGGAGCTTGCTGTGAGCTGAGATCGCGCCACTGCACTCCAGCCTGGGTGACAGAGCGAAACTCCGTCTCCAAAAAAAAAAAACACCAAGGAAAGAGAGCTCTTTCTTCAAGCACATACACTGAGGAGAGGCCACCTGCAAGCCAGGAAGAGAGCCTTCCCCAGAATCCAACCATGCTGGCATCCTAGCCTTGGTCTTTCAGCCTCCAGAGTGTGAGGAAACAATTTCTATTATTGGAGCCACCCAAGTCTGTGGTATTTTGTTATGGTGGCCTGAGCAGATTTAGAGTGTATATTTAAAAAGCCATTAAAACCATTTTTCAAGATTTTATTTTAAAAATATATGTAATTGGCCAGGCGCGGTGGCTCACGCCTGTAATCCCAGCACTTTGGGAGGCCGAGGTGGGTGGATTACAAGGTCAGGAGATCGAGACCAGCCTGGCTAACACGGTGAAACCCCGTCTCTGCTAAAAATACAAAAAATTAGCCAGGCGTGGTGGCGGGCGCCTGTAGTCCCAGCTGCTCGGGAGGCTGAGGCAGGAGAATGGCATGAACAAGGGGGGAGCGGAGCTTGCAGTGAGCGGAGATCGTGCCACTGTACTCTAGCCTGGGCGACAGAGTGAGACTCCATCTCAAAAACAAAACAAAACAAAACAAAACAATATATATGTATAATTCAGGAAGCCAGGCACAGTGGCTCACACCTATAATCCCAGCACTTTGGGAGGCCAAGGCAGGAGGATTGCCTGAGCTTAGTAGTTCAAGACCAGCCTGGGCAACACGGTGAAACCCTGTCTCTACTAAAATGCAAAAAAATGGCCAGGTGCGGTGGCTTATGCCTGTAATCCCAACACTTTGGGAGGCCAAGGTAGGCGAATCACCTGAGGTCAGGAGTTCAAGACCCGCCTGGCCAACATGGTAAAACCTTGTCTCTACTAAAAATGCAAAAATTAGCCAGGTGTGGTAGCAGGTACCTATAGTCCCAGCTACTTGGGAGGCTGAGGCAGGAGAATCACTTGAACCCGGGAGGTGGAGGCTGCAGTGAGCTGAGATTGCACCACTGCACTCCAGCCTGGGTGACAGAGCAAGACTCCGTCTCAATAAATAAATAAATAAATGACTCCGTCTCAATCAATCAATCAATCAATCAATAAAATAAATAACAAAAAATTAGCCAGCCGTGGCGGTAGTCCCAGCTACTCAGGAGGCTGAGGCAAGAGAATTGCTTGAACCCAGGAGGTGGAGGTTGCAGTGAGCCGAGATAATGTCACTGCATTACACTCCAGCCTAGGCGACAGCAAAACTCCGTCTCCCCAAAAAACCCCAAAAGCCTTCAACCCAGAAGAAATTAGCGGATTCTTGAACACTGACAGAATTGAGATATAAAGCCCCAGACATTGTAGTTAAGCCTTAGGTTTTCAAAGACCAATCCCAGCTTACATTTTTCTACAACTTAGATGTTTTTACAGAACACCCATGATAAACTGATGACACAATCTCTAGTAGTATGAGGTACACCCAGCCACCACCTCAGCCTTCGCAAATGTGGAGCTTATGTCATGCACTGAATTTTTAGTTGTGCTGATGATAGACGTCAGAGTGGCAATGCCTGCACGTGTGAAATTATGACACTGAACAAGCAGGGCTCAGGGCATATTTTCAGAAAGCCATTTTCTTTGTCTCTTGCCACCCCTTAAATCATCATTTATTCTTTCAGAAAGTATTTATGAAGTCTCAGGTAGTCTCTGCGGTTAAAGCAGGAGGCAGGACAGATGACTTTCCTTCCCTCATGGAGTTTGCACTAGTTGGGGAGACAGACAATAAAGCAGTAGTTATGGCGGGATGCAGTTGCTCAGCTCTTCTATTCCCAGCGCTTTGGGAGGCTGAGGCAGGAGGATCACTTGAGTCCAGGAGTTTAAGACAAGCCTGGGTGACATAGCGAGACCCCATCTCTATAAAAAAGAAAATAGTAAAAAATAGTAGTTACGAGTGAAGGGATAGAGGAAGTGGTCTGGGACATGGTATTTGAGGGATCCTAGCATTGATGAGTGAGTCAGGAGCTGAGTGGGCAGTGTCTTACTGGGTTTCCTCAAGTCGAGTCACACACACAGGCTTGTTCTGTGGGCTTGCGTGCATGCTTGAGTCATGACAGAGATTCCTTTGATCCAGTGATTCATAAATTAAATCATAAAACACTGCTCAGGGTTCGTGCATTAAGCCTTTTTATTTGCTTAAACACAAACACCACTGCGGCTTCACTACAGCTTTTGCTGGGTCCGGGCGTGGTCCTGATTCAGTGAGTGCTTTAAGAAGGGGGTGATGTGGGCAACACAGCCTGGGGCCAGCCTCCTTTCCAAGGAGCTTGCCAAACTTTTCTGCCCCAGAGGGGCCCCTGTTCATAGATGCTACCTTCAAATGCTCAGAAACTTCTAGATTGGTTTGGATTAAGAAACTCATCCTTTAAAATATAAACAGCCCTTTTGGATGGTAAAATCACTCATTATGAATTATTTCATTATGATTGAATGATTCAGCTTTTTTATTACCTGGCAAGGCACTTGGAGCCTTGAGGCAATGAGATTTTCATCAGCAAAACAAAGTAATCTGGAAGAATGGGGTCCTCACATTGAAGACAGACCTCGGGTGGTGGAGGGGATGGGGGGGATTTGGGTGGTGAGGGGATGTGATAGCACAGTGGGGATGGGCAGCCAAGGAGAGAAATTGAACGAGGAGGAAGTTTGCCCCACAGTTTTGCCATCACCCCACTCTGCACATCATCTCACCATCTGCCTGAAGGCCCCATGCGGAGTACCCACAGAAGAACCCAGAGCCATCCTGAGAGTTCCCACCACCAGGTCTCCTAGCCTTTGCTCCACGCAGGCAAGCAGCTCTACCAGGCGGGAGAGCCAGGCCCCCACCGCGAGACCTGTAGCAATTCCAGGGGACTTTCTGGCATTCCAGACCTAAGTGGAGCGGACCTGACTCTGTCAGGACTCTAATTCAAGCAGGCCTGGCATCAGCAAGGACCTTCTCAGGTCAGAAGCAGGTTCTCAGTGAATCAATGAGTCCACAAGCCCCTCACTCAGCCCAGGTTCTGTGGCTGCCTAAAAGTCCACATGAACCCAGGTGGGCACCTGTGTGTTGTGAGACACAACAGCACAGCCATTTTGGTTTCAGCTTTTGGCAAACAGTGTGTATTTTGTACATGCCTAGAAACATTAAAATACCATGCCCATTTTGACAACAGTAGGAGTAATTGCCTACTTCTGCTTAGAAAATCTAAAAGAGAAAAACAATGCTAAGCTGCTTTCTGTTTCAACCTCTAGGTCTAAAATTATGGCCTGTGGAGTCCATCTGTCTTTTAGTTTATAGTAATGATCATTGGTAGGGGCTAATTGATATAACTTCCCTTGAAATGTGCTGGTTGGTGTTTTACCAGATGAAGTCTATGCGAACAGCTTGATTTCTACTGTGATCGACAGCTGCAACTGCTCAGACTCCAGTGACATTGAACTGAGTGATGACTGGGCTGCCAAGAAATCTCCCAAAATCTCCAGAGCTAGCAAATCACCCAAACTCCCAAGGTAATCTCAGTCTTCGGGGTGATCGTCCTTTCTTGTGCCTCTGAATATGTGTGTTTGTGGCTGCAACAGAATCCCACTGAAACTGACCAGAAGAGTCAAAGAGCCACCTCCCTGCCTTTTCTTCCAGAAGATTCCAGCTGGAATAATTACAACTTCTATTTGTTTTGTTTTGTTTTTCCTTTGGGATAGACAAAGACACCCAGAAGTTTGCTACACCCTCAGAACTTCTCTAGGCATTAGCAATGATGGTGGGTGGCAGAGGGGTGGCCATAGTTCCCGGGCTTATATGTTTTTTCTTATAGTTTGAGAAAAGGAATAAAAAGGTTCTCCAGTGGATGTAACATGTTGAAGAGAATGCCAGATAAGATGCCTGTAATGCCAGAGCCGGGCACAGTGGCTCACGCCTGTAATCCCAACACTTTGGGAGGTCGAGGCGGGTGGATCACGAGGTCAAGAGATGGAGAACATCCTGGTCAACGTGGGGAAACCCCGTCTCTACTAAAAATACAAAAATTAGCCAAGCATGGTGCGGGCGCCTGTAGTCCCACCTACTCTGGAGGCTGAGGCGGAAGAATCACTTGAACCCGGGAAGCGGATGTTGCAGAGCCAAGATTGCATCACTGCACTTCAGCCTGGCAATAGAGCAAGACTCCATCTCAAAAGGTTAGATAGATAGATAGATAGATAGATAGATAGATAGATAGATAGATAGATAGAGATACAAATAGATAAGATAGATTAGATAGATATAAGATATAGATAAGATAGATATAAGATCGCTAAATAGATTAGATATAAGATAGATTAGATAGATATAAGATAAGATAGGTTGATGTGAGATAGATAGATAGATAGATAGATAGATAGATAGATAGATAGATGCCTGTAATGCTGTAATTGGGAAACATCAACACATCGCATCCACTGTAGAACCTTTTTCTTCACTAAGATTTCTAGTTTTAATTCTGTGATTTTTTTTTTCTGATGCCATGAAAAGCTAAGGTATAAGTTACATACAGATACACATCTGTCCAAATTGTAAACACTTAGCCCGTTGTACAAGGGCTATCCCAGTGTCTTCCCCCAAGTTCAAGATAAAGGACATGTCATCATCCCAGAAGGTCCACCTGTGCTCCCTCCATTTGATACCCACTCCCTAGAAGTAATCACTGTTCTGACTTCCATCATCAGCTTTGCTTGTTCTTGAACTTCATATAAATCGAGTCAAACAATATGTTCTCTTTGTATCTGGCCCTTTTTTTTTTTTTTTTTTTTGCTCAGTGTAGTGATTTGAGAGTCATCATGTTGTTGCATGTATCAGTAGTTTGTTTTTCTTTATTGCTCCATGGTATTCCATTGTAATGAGTATACTACAATTAGTTTATTCTGTTTACCAATCAATGGATATTTGGTAGTTTCCAGTTTGAGGCTATTATGAACAAATCCATGACAAACATTCTTATACAAGTCTTTTTATGGACATGTGCGCTCATTTCTCTTGGGTATAAACTTAGGAAAGGAGTTGCAGGGTCATGGGTTAAATATATGTTAAAGTTTATTAGAAACTGCTGAGCAGTATTCCAGGGTGGCTGCACCCACATAAATCCCCACCAGCAATTTCTAAGAGAGTCCCAGTTTCTTCCATCCTCAGCAGCAGCTCTGTTGTCATTTTTTAGAAATAATTTGGTCGGGCGCGGTGGCTCACGCCTGTAATCCCAGCAGTTTGGGAGGCTGAGACGGGCGGATCACGAGGTCAGGAGATCAAGACCATCCTGGCTAACAAGGTGAAACCCCGTCTCTACTAAAACTAACCGGGCGAGGTGGCGGGCGCCTGTAGTCCCAGCTGCTCGGGAGGCTGAGGCAGGAGAATGGTGTAAACCCAGGAGGCGGAGCTTGCAGCGAGCTGAGATCCAGCCACTGCACTCCAGCCTGGGCGACAGAGTGAGACTCCGTCTCAAAAAAAAGAAAAAAAAAAGAAATAATTCTACCTTGTTCTGGTAGGTGTAGTCGCATCTCATTTCAGTTTAATTCTAATATCTCCAGTGATGGATGCTGCTTAGTTTACATGTTTCTTGGCCACTTGGCTATCTTCTTCTTTTGTGAAGTGTCTGTTCGTCTTCTGCCCTGTTTATTATTGTGTTGTTTTATTGAGTTGTAAGAGTTCTTTCTTTTCGTTTTTTTTTTTTTTTTTTTTTTTTTTGAGGAGTCTCGCTCTGTCACCCAGGCTGGCGTGCAGTGGCACGATCTCGGCTCACTGCAACCTCTGCCTCCTTGGTTCGAATGATTCTCCTGCCTCAGCCTCCTGAGCAGCTGGGACTACAGGCTTGTGCCACCACAACCGGCTAATTTTTTGTATTTTTAGTAGAGACGAAGTTTCACTATGTTAGCCAGGATGGTCTCAATCTCCTGACCTCATGATCCACCCGCCTCGGCCTCCCAAAGTGCTGGGATTACAGGTTTGAGCCACTGCGCCCGGCCCAAGCTCCTGTGTACCCTCCCCTCCCTTTAGAGCAATCACTACAGGAGCATCTGAATATCTCATTCTTTTTTTTTTGAGATGGAGTCTTGCTCTATCGCCCAGCTGGAGTATAGTGGCGTGATCTTGGCTCACTGCAACCTCCATCTCCTGGGTTCAAGTGACTCTCCTGCTTCAGCCTCCCGAGTAGCTGGGACTACAGGCACGTGCCACCACACCCAGCTAATTTTTGTATTTTTTAGTAGACATGGGGTTTCACCATATTGGCCAGGATGATCTCAAACTCCTGACCTTGTGATCCACCTGCTTCGGCCTCCCTAAGTGCTGGGATTACAGGTGTGAGCCACTGCACCCAACCAAGAGTTCTTTCTTTCTTCTAGATTTGAATCCTTTGTCAGATATCTGTATGGCCATATAGTCCAGCACGTGGCATTCTTCTTTTGTGGTTAGTGCTTTCTGTGTCCTGTTCAGGATGTCTTTGGTTACCTAAGGTCATGGAGCCCTTCTTCAGTTCTCTTCTATCAGCTTTCTAGTTTTAGCTTTCATGCTTATGGATTAATTTTTGTGTTTGGTATGAATTAGAGATGAATGCTCATTTTTTAAATATGCAGATATCCAGTTACTCTAGCAGTCTGATTGATGTCTTTTTTCATCTTTGTTCCAGAGCTTGTTAAAATTGCATGTAACATTATGAACTTTCCTATATTTCCAAAGTGCTTTTTTCCCATTATGTAAGCAGAGAGGACATTTAATGCGTGCAACTAAATCCTTCGCCTTTAAACGTCCTCTTCAGGTTGCCATCTTGCTGTGGCTGGACCTCCTCCTGCTGTCCTTTCCCCATTTGGACCCTTCACACAGCAGCCAGGCTAATTGTCCCAGATCATAGCTTTAGGGAGCTCAATCTGCCATCCCCCCATTCCTCAGGAGCCCAGAGTTTCTCATCAAGCTCAAAACCAGTATATATGAGACAATGCATTTTTTCACAGACTGTTTTAAACCTTACCATACTCGTTTTAATCACACTGTCTTTGGGGTAGACTGTCATTAAACACGTGTGTCTCCATGTTATAAATAAAGGGACTGAGGAGCAGAGATACAACATGGGATCAAAAGGCAGCCAAAAAACTTTACTAATTTGATTTAAATATTGCAGATGGTGAAATGCTAGATAAATTTGTTGAAATTCACACTGTTGCAGAAGAAATTAGAAAGATCACTGGCCTTAGGGTAAGAAATGACTTGTCCCACCTGCCGTTTTCCCAGGACGGATTGTGCAGGCCTCTGGCAGAAGGCGGTTTCCACGCTTGCTCCAAGGCAGCGGAGAGTGAAAGACAGTTAATTATTTGAGTTCCTTACAAATGGATCGCTGGATCTCATTTCAGTATATACTCAGTTATTTTGGGAAGGGGTCTTGCTCTGTCGCCCAGGCTCAAGTGGAGTTGTGTAATTGTAGCTCATTGCAACCTTGAATTCCTGGGCTCAAGCGATCCTCCTGCCTCAGCCTCCCAAGCAGCTGGGACTGCAGGTGTGTGCCACCACACCCAGTTTCTCAATATATTTTAAAATGTATATTATTCAATGTAAAGTTGCCATTCTTTCCTCATATTCATAAAGCAAAAGCAAGGGGAGAGCTTTGTTAAATTCAGGCACTGGCTGCAGGGTGAGAACCCAACATACAGGCTGGCTGTCCAGAAAAAGAAAGGAGTGCCAGAGTCAGGGCCATGCTCACTATTCCCGCCACGGGTGCCTGACCCCTCCTGGCCTTGCCTCCCCAGGATCAGCATCGAGGCCCGCAAGTCCCCCAAGCTGCCCCGGGCTGCTCAGGAGCTCTCCCGGTCCCCGCGGTTGCCCCTGCGCAAGCCCTCTGTGGGCTCGCCCAGCCTGACTCGAAGAGAGTTTCCTTTTGAAGACATCACTCAGGTAGGAGCCCGCAGCTGCCCTGCCTCGCTTCCCTCCTCCTGGGGGCTATGCCCAGAGGGCCCCTTCCTACCCGCTGCCTGCCCTGCTCACTGCCACCATGGGCCCCTGAGCTCTGCTCCACATCCTGCATGCCATCTGCTACCTCAGGAATTGCCCTCAGGTGGAGCTCTGGCTTCTCCACCTGTGCCCCTCAGCGAGTTCTGATCTTGCAGTCACTGTGGGAGAGAACCTCCCACTTCCTATCACAGCTCCCACCGTCCAGCCCTGCCTTTCTTTCCCTCCTGGCTCCTCAGTGCCCCCTCACCCTCCAGGTGCTGTAGCCACACCTGATTCTCACCTGCCCCAGGCTTTGCCCTGCCTAGATTGTCACCACACCACCTCCTCATCCTTGTTTCTGCCCCATGCTTCCAGATGGAACTCCACCACCACCTCTGCTGTGAAGGCCTCCTGCCCTGGCTTAGCTGGGAGGGGCCAACACACCTGGTGTAGAACTACCTTATGACATTGCTCAGTGACTTCTTTATACACAGATCATTATAAGCTTTATCTCCTCTATCAGGTTATAAGCTCCTTAAGGGGCTGTATTTTGTCCGTCTTTATTTTTGCCGTTGCATACATACCTTGGGCATAATAATTTCTTAAATTTTAAAAAATTTAATTGAATGAGAAAACAGATGATGGGTAGTTTCAGGACATCCTGGTATCAATGCAACCGATGTTTTCAGGAGAAATATCCAGGATAAAAATGGATTCAGAGTTAGATCCCTTTCTAGGCTTCTTTAAATCACACACCTGTGGACATACTGGTACACACCCCCACCTTTCCCCCAGCTCGATGCGCGCCCACTCACTGCTGCCTGCCTGACTGCCCTCGTTAGCTTCTGATCTTGGAAATGGTAGATGAGGTAGAGAATGGGTGTTTCTTGCAGTGTACACTCATGGTTTGTTAAGTAATAAATATTAACATTCTTACTAAGTGACCAATTGAAAATATGGAAATAGATTGTGATTCTTTTTTCTTTTCTTCCACCACCACAGCACAACTATCTTGCTCAGGTCACGTCTAATATCTGGGGAACCAAATTTAAGATTGTGGGCTTGGCTGCTTTCCTGCCAACCAACCTCGGTGCAGGTAAAAATCACGTCCTGTTCTCTCATTGTCCCAGTTGGAACAAACTAAAATGTCCAGTTTCCACCTTTAGTGGTTTAAAATAGAAGATGAAAGTGTAAAATAGAAGATGCATAACCTACTAAAAATGGTTTTTGAAAAATTCTGAATCTATGAGTTGTACGAAGCAACTCATACACAGATCCTTTAAAATAGATTATTACTACAGATTAGATGTTAGAAAGACCTATTGCTATGAGGCATCTCAGAGATTTTTTAAACAGCAGTGCATTTGAGTTTTTCATTTTGAAGTATCTGAGCTCAAAGAAAAAGAGGAATAAAATATAAACATAAAACCAACTTAGGGAATCACAATGGACCATCCCTGTACATAGTGCAAGTAAATCTCATAATATTTTCAACAAGCTGGAAACTCTCTGATGACCACAAATGTCTGTTGTTCAGTTACTTGTTTGTGTCCTATTGATAGATAAGGTTGATTTTTAATAACCACTGTTTGACTATTGTGATTATTCCCACATTAGTAAGCTGAGAACTTAGCCATCTGCCTCTGGTAAATATTGAAAAAGGGAATGGAAGTGAGAATTTACTTAATGGGTCTTTTCATTCTCGGATGTTGAATAGGTCCACAAATAAGCCAGTAAAGATTATACAATGAGAGAGCATGTGAGAGCCTTTGAGACAAACGATGGCCTTTTTTTGGGGGGTGCGGGGAGGTAGGGCCTGGCTATGTCACCCATGCTCGAGTGCAGTGGCACCACCCCAGCTCACTGCAGCCTCAAGCTCCTGTGCTCAAGTGATTCTCCCACCTCCGCCTGTACTAGCTAGGGCGGTAGACAAAGCACATGCCACCATGCCCAGCTAATTTTTTAAAATTTTTGGTAGAGATAGGACTTCACTGTTTTGTCCAGGCTGGTCTTAAACTCTTGGCTTCAAGCCATCCCCCCATCTTGGCCTCTCAAAGTGCTGGGATTACAGGTGTGAGCTACCATGCCCAGCCTGACCTTTTTAAAAATACCATTGTGGTCCACAGAGCTACTTTGTCAAGCGAAAAGAAATTTCCACTTGATTCTGTTAATACTAGAGAACAGAAATTAACTATTGGATACTAGAAGATATGTTATATGTGGTACCCCATTAAATAATCTTTTCAAAGACAGTATATGGCCCTCTAGTGAACTTAAAAAGTGAGTGCTGTTCCCCAGGTTGGATAATTTGTTTTCTTCAATTAGAATGATCTGGCCCATGAAATTTTTTTATTTTGAATTTTTGGCATTTTAACAATACACAGTAGATTCCACAAAATTCAAAAGATTCAGAGGGGTCTACATTAAAAATCTCTGTCATTCTCACCATCAGCCACCTAGTTTTCTTTCCTGGAGGTAACTGATGGTCTTTTTCTAATCCCTCCTAGAATTTTTTTTAAATTGCTTTGTCAATGTGAACAACAAATAATAGCACTTTAATGCATTCATTCTTAAGTCATATGGAACCACACAGAATTTTTAAACCAAAATTCATATTCTCTTTCCTTTGTGGGCAAGAGAGATAAACACACGCATGGGGCCTTTCCTACTGTTGGTCGGGAGAAGTTACCTTAGCCCATACCAGTCCATGGGCCAGCCCTGCAAAGATGCTTGGACAAAGGAGGCCTGCTGTGCCGCAGGCATGCGGCAGGTCAGCCGCTAAGTGTTAAGGTTACCGCCATGGAGCTAGAATAAAGAAGCTTTGTGCTACCTGTCTCACAGGAGAGACTACTGAACACAAAAGCAAGTTCATAGGGCAGTTTCGCCCCGACTCTAACTACTGTGAAACTTAAATTTAGATTCATTATATTTAAACTTATTTTGTCTCCTCTAAATATTTTAGTTGCAATCTGGGCCTTCTCCTAATGTCCCTGTTAATCAAATTAAATCTTGAGGTTTTAAAAAAAACTGTGTGGAAATTCCCTATAGATCTCTATCTTGATGATTAGATTAAAATTGAAAGCCAAGGCTCCAGCTGAAATGAAGGCTGTGTTTTATTCCTACATGAAACCATGCCACCCCCATCTCAACATTGCTTTCACACGGTTCCTGGGTTGCTCAAGCTTCCCTTGTTTGGCACTCTGGTTGTCACAACTATTTCCATTCAATCATCCTTCTGATTGCAAATGAGGTTTTTGAAAAATATGTTTTTATACCCTAGCTCTTTCCAAAAGAAATAATTTATGTCTAAAATGTTTTTGACATTTGAAATGTGTAGTTCTGTAGACAATCCACTGGCAAGGAGGCCAAGCTAGACCAGGAATCTGCTGTTACTGAATCCAGAACCGTGGCTAGTATGGTTGTACTGAGTACTAGGGAGAAATGAAGAGCTCCTCTCGGCCTCTGGACCCTGCCTACACAGATCTGTCTTCTGATGGCAGGGAAACTGCAGTGTGCTCTTCTTCCCGTGACTCTCTTGACACTTTGGCTCTACTCTGGTGTGTCTCTGTTAACTGTGCCCTTCTTTTTCCCCACCAGTAATCTATAAAACCAGCCTCCTGCATCTCCAACCGCGGCAAATGACCATTTATCTCCCAGAAGTTCGGAAAATTTCCATGGACTATATTAATTTACCTGTCTTCAACCCAAATGTTTTCAGTGAAGATGAAGATGATTTACCAGGTGTGTTCACATACATCAACTTGTTTGTCACGGTCCCTCTGTCAGTGGATCGTGCAAAAAGAACAGAGTGGCAAGTTGTTGAGGTTTCAGTCTGCTCCCTAGGTTCAGAAAAGGTATTCCTGCCTCAGTAAGGTTGGTAGATATGATGGCGTGTCCCAGGGGAAAAAGTCACAGGTTGGCACCAGTGTTGGCAGGAGCGGGGCTGCTGGAGCACAGATGGTTACAGTGGCAGCGGTGCCTTGTGTTTGTGGAGCACAGCTCTACCATATGGCTTTATCCTCACAGCTATCCTCTTAGTCATGTGTCTGGATTCAGGTAAGTTTGTGGGACTGATTGGAACTAAGTAAAATCAGAACTGAGACCCAGTCTCATTGATCAAGGCCAGCCTTCATCCTTTCAATCCCTGCTGAGATACTGTCTCACTCCAGCATTCCCGTGGTGCCCACAGAGTCTAGTTTCTCAAATCTGCCCTGTGTCCAGGACACAAAAGCCTTTACCTGTAACCACCTCTCTTCCACCGCAACCGCATGTCTCCGTGCACAGGACCCTGGCCTGAGTTCAAGATAAAATCTGGTATACGATTTTTAAATTCCAGTTTTCAGATGGTAAATATCAATATATATAGCATCTTAAGTTAACGTGTTTCCTGGCGGGGCGATTCTTAAAGGATCCTATTTTGATTAATGGATTACAGTGACTTCCAGTTAGTCTGGCCAGTTAGCTGTGTGTAACTATTTCAGTTGCTAGAGGGTACTTGAAAATAACTTGCTTTTCTAAGTAAAAGACCACCTGAGATTTTATAGATACACAGACTCCTCTACTTCCAACTAAGCAGGGCTCTGGAAGTCTCCAGTTTCTGAGCTAGAGGAACCTGGACATGGACCGTGACTTCTCCAGTATCTGGATGTCTGTGACCCGAGGGACTGGTTCTCACAGTGGACATAGAGGGCCACCCATTCCAGCTCGGGCCCTGCTCCTCAGTCGGGCTCTGAACTTGAGGGAATTGTTTACCTTCTCTCAGCCCAGTCTTTTTACCTGAAAAAAATGATTTCTACTGCACTTTCCAACAATAGCCATCTTGCTTCTCTGATGGTGACCTCTCCTGCATGGGTGAGCAAATCTCCTAGGCTTATGTGGTCCTAATAGGCCAAGCTTACAACCACATAAATACCTGTAGTTTGGTGAAGCCTCCCATACCTGAGCTTTCTAGTGCATCCCCTTCTACTTCAGAATCTTGGAATTAGAAGTATCTTTTAAACTTTCCCCTTAATGCTTTCCCTGTTCTCCCAAAATGCGACGAATACAGCCCTCTCCAAGGTTCAGCTGTTGCTGCTGTTGTCCTTATTGTCTGTGGTTCCCAATGAGAGGAGGGAACATATTGTCTCAGGGATTACATTTAATGATGGTGACTCAGCAAAGAGGCTCTTCTTCCTTAAAGGAGAAGATGCCTGCCATCAGTGTTTCATACAGACAGGAGAGCTTCTCGAAGGGCATCTGAACAGGAATGACAGGAAACCTGAGACAGACCCAAATTTGTGCAGCCAGGGGAGAGTTATGTCTCACTAGGAGACCCCCAAGGAAGGGCCAGCTTAGCTTCTGATAAACTGGCTGGCTTGATTCTGTAGTTCTTTTGATGAAAAGTCAGCCAGTGTCACATTTCCTAATCATAGACTAGCTGCCACATAGTACTTACACCATGCCTCAGATTTCTGGATCAGTGGCAGTTTTCTCTAAGGGAAATGCCACAGGGTGGCACAGTGGGCCTAGAGGAGCCAGTTGCAGAGTGCTCAGTGTGCACTTTAAACAGGGCCGTGCAGACGGCAGCTCTGAGCACCTGTCTCTAGATCACTGTTCAAACGCGCGCTCTGTTAAACTCTCACTGTGTACAAATAGGATATATTTATAGGGTTTAATTCAGCGTGGTTCTACCTTACATACTATTTGAAATGCTAAAAAGCAGATAAAGGTCAGGCATGATGGCTCACACCTGTAGTCCCAGCCCTTTGGGAGGCGAGGTGGGTGGATCACTGGAGGTCAGGAGTTGGGGACCAGCCTGGCCAACAAGGCAAAACCCCATCTCTACTAAAAATACAAAAATTAGCTGGGCGTGGTGGTGTATGTCTGTAGTCCCAACTTCTGGGGAGGCTGAGGCAGGAGAATCACTTGAACCCAGGAGGTGGAGGTTGCAGTGAGCCGAAATCATGCCACTGCATGTCTGGGTGACAGGGCAAGACTCTCTTAAAAAAAAAAAAAAAAAATTAGGAAATGATCCATCATGATGTGATACTCAGATTCACTAGAAGATTCTTTTCATTGTTTTTTCTACTATGTTTTACATGGTTCTATTTACAGAAATCTAATATGCATACATTTCTTATACACATCTCTTGCGTGACACTTGCCACACTATCCATCCCATAATCATGAATAGACCTAATTCAGAGGCCTAGGCACTGCGAGTCCTCAGTGGAGGTTTTTCCTGTACCATTGCCCTCTTCCTGCATAAAAGGATGGGTGTTTTATGAATATCACCAGTAAAAAACTTCTTCAGACATTTAATTATCTGTGATGGTGCCATTGAGGCACTGGTGCCAAGTTTAGAAGGTTCAAAAGTGAGCTAGTTGAAAAGTTATAACAGTACCCTTAGCTAACAGACAAGCAGCAGGCTGCCCTCAAGAACCCATCTCACTTGTGTGAGCAGGCCAGCTTTCCCCAAGCAGACACGTCTCTGTCTCTGGCAATTGCGTTTTGTTTACAGAAGGAGACTGGATGAGTCCAGATGTATTACTTATCCTGATCCGGTTTAATGGCACTGTTTTTGTAAGCAGTTCCTTTTTCTAATTTTCTTCCAGTGACGGGAGCATCTGGTGTCCCTGAGAACAGCCCACCTTGTACGGTGAACATCCCTATTGCACCGATCCACAGCTCGGCTCAGGCTATGTCCCCCACGCAGAGCATAGGGCTGGTGCAGTCCCTACTGGCCAATCAGAATGTGCAGCTAGATGTCCTGACCAACCAGACGACAGCTGTAGGAGCAGCAGAACATGCAGGTGACAGTGCCACCCAGTACCCAGTCTCCAACCGGTACTCCAATCCTGGACAGGTGATTTTCGGAAGCGTGGAAATGGGCCGCATCATTCAGAACCCCCCTCCACTGTCCCTGCCTCCCCCGCCGCAGGGGCTCATGCAGCTGTCCACGGTGGGCCATGGAGACCGAGACCACGAACACCTGCAAAAGTCAGCCAAGGCCCTGCGGCCAACACCGCAGCTGGCAGCTGAGGGGGACGCAGTGGTCTTCAGTGCCCCCCAGGAGGTCCAGGTGACAAAGATGAACCCTCCACCCCCGTACCCAGGAACCATCCCCGCCGCCCCC